GGACAGGCGGACATGGCTAGATCGACTCGTCTAGTGATGCTGATCTAGAATATATATATGTCAGGGGCTGAGACATTTGCTGGTCTCCTTCTTGCATTTTTGCTGCAGTTGCGTAGTGAGTCGCGGTCAACGTCTTCTCCGTTTAGATATCAAAAGCAAAGTGAAGTCGGCTTCCTTCTGCCGGCTTCTTCTTACACACGTCAAAGCGTATTGTTTCATCCATTTGCAAATTCCTTTTTTTCTCTCTCTCTCTCATTTTCAATTCCTTTTTGGTCCTTCTCTCTCTCTCAGAGTCCTTGACCTTGACCATGAACGCGCCACACTCGGCTGAGACGACACTCTCTCTCGTTCTCAATCCACGCTCTCAGCAATTGTGCACATAAAAGGAACCACAAATAACCTAGTGACTAGTTTATTTTATTCTTTATTCTTTATTTCTTAATGCTCTACAGTTTCTTTTACATTTTCTTTCTTCTTATACATCTCCGACACGGCCATCCTGACTTTCACACGTCCTCGTGTGCATACTGTAACTCTAGGTTGGTATCATTCTTGCTTTATTTCTCTTTTCATATTTTACATCTCTCAACATCATTCTTAGCTTAACAAATAGTCTACACACACAACTTTATAAATTACGTATCAAATGTCGGTTTCGCAGGCTATCTCGCTTTTTCACATCATACAGTGAGTCAAATAAAACTTGTCACACCAGTCAACCGCGCCACACACCATGACAGAACACTCCTGGTTCCACACTTGTGCCTTGGGCTTGACCTGGTTCAACTTTCTCTCAGTAGCTCGTACTCTTCTGCGCAAACCCGACCATTTGGCTATCCTTGTTATGAAACCACAGTTACAGGCTTTTGCCGCCCCACGCAACGCTTTGCACCTTTAGTGCCACGATCTGCTCAGATCCAAATTGCATCACACAATATCATCCATACTAGGCATGACTATTGTTGATCAAATCTAGCCCATGTGTTTGATGTCTCACGACGAGTGTCTTTTTCACCACTGTCACTTTCCTCAATAGTCTCGTCAGAGATCTGCTCGTCCGGCAGCCTTCGCAAACTCTCGTGCGAATACTTGTAGGTTCGCTTGCTAGTTAACGATTTTAACAGGTATCGATCACCTTTCAACAACTCGGCAACCACAAAAGGTCCTTTGAACTTAGGATCCAATTTGGTCTGATGCCGCTCTTCACTTCTAAGCAAGACATGATCCCCAACCTTGTGTTTTAGTGTTTTACAATCTTGGCCTTATTCTTATCAACTTGATTCTTTTCATATTTCGCATTTATTTTAATATTTTCTTTGGCCTGTGCCCTCGCTTGCTTGCCATTGGCCTGGCCTCTCTTCCAATCAATATTTCTAATGGGCTATTCTTTGTTACCCTGTTCGTTGTACAATCCATGGCTAACTGTACTTCACTGAGTTAATCCTGCCAGGAACGTTCACCTATCTCTACCGCTGTCAACATACTTTTCATCGTGCTCATGATTCTTTCAACCTGTCCTTTGGCCCTACTTGCACCTGTTGCTATCAAATGTGAGAAGGGTAGCTTTTTGAGTGGTGTAGGTTTTATTTAGGATAGTTGTGTTGGATATAAGGTTACATATAGAAATTATAACTATAAGTGTTCTGCGCACGTTCTGCTCTTGAGTACGACTCTGTCTCGACTACCTTACATTTGTAGAGTCTGTTAACATTATCAAAAAAAGACTTATTCTACACTTATATTGAAGGTTTGGTATATACTATATTAGGCGCTGTTCACAAATGTAACTCTATTTTATGCATTGAACAGAACTCACGAAATTTTCCAAAAGAGAAACTCCTGCCTTGATCTGCTATGATACGGTTAGGTACGCCAAAAAGTGATATTGTTGATTTTACAGCCTTAATACAGTTTTCGGCATCTAAATGCAAAGTATAATATAGGTGAACAAATTTAGTAAATGCGTCCTTGGTATCATTTTTACCATTCAGCTTTCCACTAATAACAATGTGCACAGTATGCCAAGGTATCTCAACTTTCGGAATTGGATGCAATTCCATTTGAATTTTCCCTGATGGAGGCTTTGCTAGTTTGCATGTAATGCAGTTTTCTACAAATTTTCGTACATACTTGGACATATGGACCAATACTGCTCATAAACCTTGTCTAACGTTTTCTGCCACCCCAAATGCATGATTGCTTCATGGACGTGATTTACTACTGACCACCTAAAGGCTCTTGGGACTACAGGTAGACAGCGTGTTTTTCCATTTCTCTGAATTTTCCGATACAGAATTCCTGCTCTTAGCTCATACGTCTTCGCTAAACTCTCCAGCAACTCCCCATCATTCAACTGGACTATAATTTCCCTTACACACGAATCACGCTGCTGCTCAGCTACAAGCCAGTTGTCTGTCACTGTCAGGTCGATGCGGACTTCGGGTACTCTATTTGTTGCCTCACATTCAGTGACAATCGGATTTCTGAATAAAAAGTCCACGTGCGCCATGCGATTTCCATTGCGGTACTTTACAGTGAAATCAAATGATTGCAAATATGCCCACCAACGGTGAACTCTCGGCGTTAGTTCTACTTTAGCACGACTTGCTTTCAATGAATTACAATCTGTGAATATTACAAACTTTCGGCCGTGAAGGTAATGTCGGAAACTTTTTACAGCGTTGTATACTGCCAGGGTTTCTAATTCGTATGAATGATACCTCGTTTCTGGGGGCGATGTACACTTGCTAAAGTATTCAACCACTCTAGGCTTACCGTCTATTTTGTGCTTGAGAATGGCACCAAAGCCACTTGCACTTGCATCTGTATGCAGCTCTATGGGATAATGTGGATCAAAAATAATTAAAACCGGATCATGAGTTAGTACTGAGATGGTCTTCTGCCGTATTTCTTCATGCTCAGCTTTCCAAACGAAACTATTAATTTTGGAAGTCAACTGATATAACTTTTTCACCTGTTCAGAGAACTGTGGGACAAATTTACGGAAGTACGACGCTAATCCTATAAATTGTCGCAATGGTGAAACATTCTTTGGTTGAGATAGTCCAGCCAGAGCTTGCATTTTTTGCGGATTTGGTTCAATACTACCGTCCTTGACCAAGTAGCCAAGATATTCTATTTCAGTTTTCAGAAAACAGCATTTTTTTATATTAAATAAAATTCCTGCTTCCGATAGAGCCTTTAGCACAACTGTCAATCTTTCAAATGCTTCCTCTTATGACCTTGCTACTATCACTACATCATCAATGTAAACAATTGCATAGGAGTACGCCAGGTCACCCAGTGCTCGCGTTATAGCTCGCTGAAAAATCGAAGAGGCATTCTTTAGCCCAAATGGCATAGATAGAAACTCGTACTGGCCCTCAGGGGTTACAAAAGCAGTTCGCTCTATAGATCCTACATCTATTGGAATCTGATAAAACCCACTAGCCATATCTAAACAAGAGAAGTATTTACCCTCACGCAGTCTGTTTACTTGATCTGATATTAGAGGCAAAGGATATTTGTCAGCCACTGTATTTGCATTTAGCTCTCTATAATCTATGCACAAACGATCACTGCCATCTTTCTTCTTAACTTACTCAGTCTTGTTGGCATCAAATAAACGAATTTCTAACTCTCCAGTCGTGACACGTCTGCTCGGTATTCCAATAATAAAATGCTCAGTATACTGGTCAAAAATTTTCTTCAATTTAGACTTATCATTATTATAATTATATATAATAATAATTATATAATAATTATATAATTATATATTATATTATAATTTGGAATAGTTTCATCGGATATTGAATTAATTTTTTACTTTTAAAAATATTAAATTTATCAGCATCCATCGTTATGCCAAAGCCAAGTGCCAAGATCTCACGACCAATCATTATGTCATGTTTCAAATGCTCGTCCATAACTACATTAAACATGATTTCCAAATTAAATTGACAAATTTGTAAATTAAAGTGTACAACGTTTGTTCCAATTCCTTTTAGAATGACTAAATTATTAAATCTTTTTCCGGCAAGCTTGACTGCTAACTTTTCCTTTATTAAGGAGCACTCGGCACCCGAGTCGAAAAAGAATGGAAAGGCCTCACCAAATTGATATAAAATTCCTTTCGGCTCCAACACTGCACAGAGATCTACTCGCCTCTCGTTCATACTGCTACTCAATGCTGCTGTTCCCTTCATACATGCGGTTGTGACGTCACTAATCGGCTACCGTACGCTGACAAACACTCGCCCGATTTCGGCCGTCCGTTGAGAATGTTCAACAAGGTGGCGGCCGGCGTCTTAGAATCGTCGTAGCGCTGAACAAACAACTCTTGGAATTGTGGCCAGGTAATACGAGCATAGCTGATCTGTGCAAGCCATTGGGAAGCGCTCCCTTCTAGTGCTCCACTCAGCGACATAACCAGCGCACTGCCCTCCAGAGGATGCTCCGTGAGAATCATGTCGGCTGTTTTGAGCCACGCGCTGGCGTCAGCTTCAGCCGCGTCTGGATTAAACTTTGGCAGTCTCAATGATTTTTCACTTGTTGTTGTTGAAGCAGGCTGCTGCATTGTTTTTAGTATTTCGATGAATCGTAGATTTTGTGCTTCCAACAGAGATCGCCATTCACTATCACGCTGGGCCTGAGCCGATCCCACTTCTGATGTCAGGGGCTGAGACATTTGCTGGTCTCCTTCTTGCATTTTTGCTGCAGTTGCGTAGTGAGTCGCGGTCAACGTCTTCTCCGTTTAGATATCAAAAGCAAAGTGAAGTCGGCTTCCTTCTGCCGGCTTCTTCTGACACACGTCAAAGCGTATTGCTTCATCCAATTGCAAATTCCTTTTTTTTCTCTCTCTCTCTCAATTGCAATTCCTTTTTGGTCCTTCTCTCTCTCTCAGAGTCCTTGACCTTGACCATGACCGCGCCACACTCGGCTGAGACGACACTCTCTCTCGTTCTCAATCCACAAATAACCTAGTGACAAGTTTATTTTATTCTTTGTTCTTTCTCTTTCTTAATGCTCTATAGATTCTTTTACATTTTCTTTCTTCTTATACATCTCCGACATATACTTTAAGGGGTCGGAAACGTCTCCTTCACTTCGTTGCAAATTTCTGACTGAAATCATAATACCCTTTGCAAGGGTATAAAAACCATGAAACATTACAAATATAAAGAGAATTTATCGTTCATACCTATTGCTTTGGCTCCTTCCATTTTCAAAAGTTCGCCGTCATCATTGTTAACGTTTTCATTCTGAATGTTTAAATTTTCACTGTCAAGAAGGAGAACTCAGAGTCTATAAAATTTGGATGGGGAACTAACTAGGACATTTTTGGAACGGCAAAGGCTTATGGACCATCAGTTCAACGGATGGTAGATGGTAGATGGATCTCTGTCGGATGGAATTTTGTTTGTTTTATTAATACCAACCTATGTGTATTGCATTTGTGCAAAAAATAATAGAAACTTCAAACCCAATTGCTTAGTATGTACGAAAGTGCTGGGCATCAAGCCAATAATATGTAAAGTACTGATAACTGGACTTAATTTTATTTTAATCCTTGAGCCCTTCGCGCCCTTATTATTTGCTGTGCGCATAGGTCTTAAGGGCGACCGCGTGCATTGCCTGGAAAAAAATTGAATAAAAAAAGGCTTCACTTCATCTTCTGGAGTATGTTCATGTTATGGATTAAGGAAAAAATGTTTGCTGAGGACTACCGTAGCATACTTGAGAGCACAATGCCGATGGAGAACCCCCGCTAAAATCGGAGTTAATGCAAAACAAACAGCCAAACAAACATTACAATTTTTACAAAAATGGTTCCAGGACCAAAATTCGCCAGACTTAAATAAGAATGGGATCTTATAAAGACACCCAACACCCCAACGACCCGTTCAGATCCAAAAATCAGTTTTCACCCGTGAATAACCTGGTTAATCACCGTGTGTATATATATACATATTTTTGTACCAGTTACTCGTAGAGTAAAAGGGTAACTAGATTCGTCGAAAAGTATGTAACAGGCAGAAGGAAGCGTTTCCGACCCCATAAAGTATATATATTCTTGATCAGGATCACTAGCCGAGTCGACCTAGCTATGTCCGTCTGTCCGTCTGTCTGTCCGGATGCACGCTGAGATCTCGGAAACTATAAAAGCTAGGCTATTGAGATTTTTGCGTGCAGATCCCTGAGCTTCTTACGCAGCGCAAGTTTGTTTCAGCAATGTGCCACGCACACTCTAACGCCCACAAACCGCCCAAAACTGTGGCTCCTACAGTTTTGATGCTAGAATAAAAATTTTAACGGAAATGTATTGTTCTCATCAAAACCTATCGATTTACCCAAAAAAAAAGTTTGCCTCGCCCACTTTAACGCCCACAAACCGCCCAAGCCTGTGACGCCCACAATTTTCATGCTAAACAAAAAATTTTAACTGAAATGTATTCGTCTCGTCAATACCTATCGATTGACCAAAAAAAAATTTGCCACGCCCACTCTAACGCCCATAACGCTTAAATCTGTCTACCGCCGGTAGGTGGCGCATTTTAATCTCTCTTTGCTGCTTGCATATCTCCGTTTAGCTGAGTAACGGGTATTTGATAGTCGAGGTACTCGACTATAGCGTTCTTCCTTGTTTTTAATTGTGTTATTTAAGAACTGTCCGGATCCTTAGAATTTTTGGGCAATGTTGCTGAACAAATATTAGGTCATATACGTTTTAAAAATGTGTCTTACTTGTATAATTGTATATTTACCTTTTAGAACTATATATAACTCTTTGCAAGATTTCTTGTGGCACTAAACATTTGGGCATGCCACTTTCGGCTAACGAAACCAGAATTTTCTATTTTTTAAGCGAGCGGGATGGAGATATTACTTAAGCATAGTTCGGAAATAACTGTTGACCCTTTTTGCTTCTTGCGCTCTCGTTGCGAGCACAACCGAAAAAGATCATACTCTCTCGCTCTCGCTCTGAGCAAGTGACTCTTGCTGTCTTCATTAATGTTTTCTATTGAGCCCTTTTCGTTGAGCTCTTTGTATGTTGCTCTTTCAATGAGCAGTGCGTAAGGAGCGGAACGAGAAACGCTCGCACAATGAGAGTCAGCAAAAGACCGATTCACCGAAAAACTCAACGCAAACGGTCTTCACATTTATTTTCGTTGTTGTAAAAAAGAAATAATATAATTCGTTTAATAGAAGAATTTAAATATATTTTCTAATATTTTTGTTAACGATTGCAATTAATATACATATTTCGTCTGCAAAACAGACGCTTAACGATTTCCTTGCCCATGCGTGTGAATGTAGACCATTCCATACGCAAAAGACCTTTTGCTTCACTGAACACGACAAAACGGTTTTGGAACAACAAGAACAAAACAGAATAGAAAAAAAAGGTTTCGCTCTGAGCGCGAGCGAGCTCATTCAAGAACCCATAAATCGGTTGCTCTCTGAGTCTTATCGTAAAGAGTCAGGAAAAGACACTTAATTGCAGACAACGAAAAACGGTCGACAGTTATTTGCGAGCTCTGGCTTTAAGCAACTCTGCTTTTTTCACTAACACACCTAGCCTATAGCGCCACCTATCTCCATCTTCTATAGCACCACTTAGCTTACAACGCCTATAGCGCTCCTAGCGGCTTGGTGGGGTATTAGTGAAAACAGCTTATTTGCTGACTGATGTGTGCAATCTCGATTGAATTCCAAATATTTAATTATTATTTGGTTATTACTTTTTTGCGACTGGTCCGATTTCGAAAATAGTTGGCATATAGATGGGTATTAATGAGAAAAAGAAAATCTTAGTTTTATGTAAATATTAATGGACGAAATTCTCAAAAATAATCTTAAAAATTAGATTACATACAAATATCATTATAAGTACATTCAAATTACTTAATTTTACTATGATCAACTAAATTGCTTTGATGTTTTGGTGAGTCTGCGGGTGTCTTCTTAAAAAGTTCGTTTGAATATGGCAATCTGACAAATTACAAAGCATTTCGCAAACGTCGCTTTTTTCAAACAAGCTGTTCGACTTGCAGATTAGTTGTGTATTGGTTGCTGCGCACAGAACACTTTCTATTGCGGTGTAGAGATTTTGCCTCGCGGATTCCACGACCTCAGTCGATATCGTTCTCGATGTTAATATGTGGGGTTATATCAATGTGCAAACTTCCGTTCCGTTCCTATTCTGCGTTTAAGAGGTAATAGAATTCCGGTGGTATCGTCTTAGACCTTTTTTCAATTTTAATTATTTTTATTTTTAGCAATTTTTGCCAAACAATTCTTTTTATACCCGTTACTCGTATAGTAAAAGGGTATACTAGATTCGTCGGAAAGTATGTAACAGGCAGAAGGAAGCGTTTCCGACCCCATAAAGTATACATATTCTTGATCAAGATCACTAGCCGAGTCGATCTAGCCATGTCCGTCTGTCCGTCCGTCCGTATGAACGCTGAGACCTCGAGAGCTCTGAGAGCTAGGCTATTGAGATTTGGCATGCAGATTCCTGAGCTTCTGGCGCAGCGCAAGTTTGATTCAGCAATGTACCACGCGCACTCTAACACCCACAAGCCGCCCAAAACTGTGGCTCCTACAGTTTTGATGATAGAATAAAAATTATAACTGAAATGTATTGTTCTCATCAATACCTATCGATCGACCCAAAAAAAAATTTGGCAGGCCCACTTTAACGCCCACAAACCGCCCAAGCCTGTGACACCCACAATTTTCACGCTAGATAAAAAATTTTAACTGTAATGTATTGGTCTCGTCAATACCTATCGATTGACCAAGAAAAAAATTGCCACGCCCACTCTATCGCCCATAACGCTTAAATCTGTCTGCCGCCGGTAAATGGCGCATTTTAATCTCTTGCTGCTATCTCCATTTCCCTTTGGTCCCTTTACCTGAGTAACGGGTATCTGATAGTCGAGGTATTCGACTATAGCGTTCTTCCTTGTTTTCACCTATGATGTTTACCGTTTTTATACCCGTTACTCGAAGAGTAAAACGGTATACTAGATTCGTCTGAAAGTATGTAACAGGCAGAAGGAAGCGTTTCCGACCCCACAAAGAGTATATATTCTTGATCAGGATCACTACCCGAGTCGATCTTGCCATGTTCGTCTGTCTGTCTGTCCGGATGAACGCTGAGATCTCGGAAACTATAAGAGATAGGCTATTGAGATTTGGCATGCAGATTCCTGAGCTTCTTACGCAGCGCAAGTTTGTTTCAGTAGACTGCCACGCCCACTCTAACGCCCACAAACCGCCCAAAACTGTGGCTCCTACAGTTTTGATGCTAGATAGAAAATTTTAACTGAAATGTAATGTTCTCATCAATACCTATCGATTACCAAAAAAAAATGACTACGCCCACTTTAACGCCCACAAGCCGACCACAAACTTAAAAAAAATCGTAAGTATGCACGCGGATATCTCGGAAACTATCAAAGATAGAGAATTGGGATCTCAGACTTAGATTTCGTAGCCTTGTACGCAGCGCAAGTTTGTTACGCGAATATGCCACGCCCACTCTAACGCCCACAAGCCGCCCAAGCCTGTGGCGGCCACAATTTTCATGAAAGAAAAAAAATTAAACTGAAATGTATTAATCTCGTCAATACCTATCGATTGACCACAAAATAAAGTTTGCCACGCCCACTCTAACGCCCATAGCGCTTAGATCTGCCTACCGCCCACATAACCATATATTGAGATCGCGGGTAGGTGGCGCATTTCAATCTCTCTTTGCTGCTTGCATATCTCCATATCCCTTGTGTCCCAATAGCTGAGTAACAGGTATCTGATAGTCGAGGTACTCGACTTTAGCGTTCTTTCTTGTTTTTTAATTAGTTTGACATTTGGATTTCTTTTTAAACCTTTTTTTAAATTTTCCGTTAAGTATTATAAATGTACTTAAAGAATTGTGAATGTGGTATTTTGTTAGTATGTGGTCATCCTTTACGTCTGGCTAGTGCCAGGAATAGGGAAAAATTGGGGAACTTTGTAAAGGAGGCTGAATTTTAAAAAATGTAACTGCAGTTATTTTAAAGTAAGCCTTGAGGATATGAAGAGATCGTATGAAACCACTTTAGTTACATTTGTTACAAAGAAATAGCAAAAGAAGCAAGAAAGGAAGCTAGCCTCGGCAAGCCGAAGTTTCTATACCCTTGCAGGGCGTTCCCGTGGGAGCGTTGTATTTTCAGAGCTTTTCGATTTTTAGAAAACTTAAAACCAATTACAGAAACATTAAGATATTATTCCTTATTAATTTACTACCGTATATGTTTACCGAAAACGTAATAAAATAATATATATGAAGTACATTGGGTGCACCGCACTCTCGATATGTGTGCATAGCACATATCATCTCTCACCTTTTTAAAAATAACGTAACATATTTCTTATGTACTTTATTTTGAAAGTTTTGTTCAAAACATATTTTTAGCTATCCTGTGAGGTATTTTCCGTCTCGTTCTGCTGAGCTATGCTTACCCCAGAAAACACGTCAGTGCTGCCATTTTGTACTATAACGCTGCGTATTGTTTTAAAGGTATTTCGAGTACTTCTCCAAAAAACATTTATATTTATGTATGCTTGCTAAACATACACAATTTTAAGGGACATTCTGTATTTCAAAATATTTGGTTGAATAGCTTTGTTTGAAAGAATTCTATTTGCCGCGGATATTAGATTGCAATTTTTTACGTCCACACACATGCATAAATACATATGTATGTATGTATGTATGTCGTTTTCTGGCTCTAACCAGTCGTAAGTTGCGGAACGTGTTTTAAAAAAACATAGTTCTGGGTCGTACCTTTTTTACGCAAAACAACACGCATGCAAATTTTCCAAGGCAAATGTGCGTGCTGGGTGCATTCTATTGCGGTGCCTTCTAGAAGTGTTTCAGAATAATGCATCCAGAAGCATGCCCAAACACCCGTTTCGGGAACGTATTCCGAAAGAAATAGTTCTGGGTCGTATCTTTTTTACGCAAAACAGCACGCATGCAAATTTACCCAGCAAAATGTGCGTGCTGGGGGCAGTCTTTTGGGTGCCATCTGGGTGTATTTCAATATAGTGCATCCAGGTGCATTTTAGTGGGAATGTAAAAAAACCAAACTCAAACCCGAAGGTTGCCGATGCGCATTTTTTTTACAATCGTCTTTTTTCGGAACTGTTCTCTTGACAAACAAATAATAAAGACAAAAGGGAACATGCAAGGAAGCGAGCGGTTTTTCTTGTCTCTTGCATTTCTCGTCAGTTGCATTTTTAGTTCTGAAAAGTGAAGTTCGTGCCACGTGTTTTGAAAAAGTTTGTTGTTTTCTGCCACCAATTTTGCATCAATATTTTCACAGGTAAGTAAAGTGTAGATAATTTAGTTCAATATGAACACAATAAAATATCACAGTACATGTACACTGAACATTCAAACTAAAAACATATTAAACAAATAAAATAATAACTATTTGTATGTAAATTGTACATACAAAATAAACATATTGTATATTTGTAATGTATATACACATATTTCATATTCAATTTGCTTTATATTTTTCAGAATCGCAAAAAATGAATGGGCACACCAAGGACTGAACTGCGTAAATGACAAAAGTACATAAACAAGAAGGAAGCACCAAAGCACCGTACAGAAGGGGAGTTACTCCGATTAAAAATTAGTTGCCTTTTTGAATATTGAAATGAAAATAAATATGAAATTGAAATCCAGTTTTATGTATTCCTGGGGAAAACTTCCAGATATTTCGTTTTTGAATGCTTCTAGGTGCATTCCTGGGTACATGTTACAGGTGCATTAAAAAAGAGTACACCCAGAAGGAGTTTAGTATGTTGCTTCCAGGTGCATTAAAAAATAATACACCCAGAATGTGTTTAGTATGTTGCTTCCAGGTGCATTAAAAAAGAGTACACCCAGAATGTGTTTAGTTTGTTACTTCCAGGTGCATTCCAGATATATGCTTCCAGAAGCATGCAACGGGTGCATTCTTTTTTGTCCCGCACCCGTGTAAAAAGAATGGACAGACTCATCACTTCCGGAACACCTTTTTGATGCCATTTCATAATGAAAGAACGCGTGCTGGAATGCTGTCATTTACGACTGGGAAACGTCCCTGCAGTTCCACAATTGAGTTAAGCGCCCAATCATCACGAAGCCGACTGCGACGTCGGCAGAGAAGCCAGCGACGCCGGCAGAGCTGAGCGCAACGGCGGCAAAGCGACGCGCTCTCGTCGGGTCCGCAAAGAGAACGCACAAAAAGTAATTTTGGGCTCTCCCTCTCTCGCCATGTCTCAGACGGAAAAGTGCGTGTGATGGGAAGGAGGCCCAGCAACTAAAATATATAGACTTTTGTGCACCCTTGCCTTTTGAATAATGCGACATTTGTTCGTAAATGATAAAACAACCATTTAAAATAATAGGTTTCTGTTTTAAAATATTTGTATTTCTTAAAAAAATTTATAGGTTTATTAATATTATTTAATAATATGTGAAGTTTTAAGAATATATTTTTATAAACCGATTTGCATAGTCGGATATGTCTATAAATACGCTGCTTTTATGTGCAAGATGCATAGACCAAACGGGACATGCCAAAAAAACAGAACGACAACGGATTAGCGGAACCGTTGTTGGTGTTGTTTGTTGTTTTTCTGGAAGGCACGCGACTTTTTTCGTCTTTTTCACTTGGGTTTACTTATGTGAAGGAGTTAGAATTGCACGCAATTAAGGTAGTTAAGTATAGTAATACCTATACGATTCCCAGGTAAGTCTGTCGCAGACCAATATTTATTTAATCAGTGAGAGTAAAAACAAGTTAATGTATATTAAAAAAATGGAAAATACAAGATTCCCAAAAAAACACGTGGCGGAAAAAAAATAGCTGTGAAAAATATTAATTTTGGACGTGAAAAGCAACAAATGATGCATATAAATAAACAAATGAATGAATCTGTGAAAAAATTTTAAAATCTTATTGAGTGCTGAGTTCCTAGGGACCAAAAATAAGAGATGTTTGTTTTTATAACTTGTGATTTTTTGTATTAATAACATTAAAGCACAACATTTATTTTTGTGTAAGTAAACAAACATGGCTATTTAAATAAAAATCTCAAACATCTCTAATTTTCCGTCCCTGGAAAAGTGGTATTTTTTCCGCATCTGCAAAATAAATAAATGATTTATTAAATAATAAAAAAAATACATAAATATTTTTTTACAACAAAATAAAATAAATCAAGTGACCGAAAACAAAAGTTTGCAAATTTCTTCTCGATATTTTTTTAATTTTCTTTATATTTTTAGACATCTTAAGCATATTATCCGAGGAACTTGTTCTGTCCCACAACTTGGAAAGGGGGCAAAACAAGAAGAGGCTCAGACTACCCAAATTTCGCCCGTGCCTTATTAAGTAAGTTTTTGTTGAGGCTGAAAACTATTGTTTGTAAGTTTAATTTTTAAAAGACTTCTGGGATTTTTACATTGAATGCCAAAGATAACATTTCTTTTTATATAAATAAATCTTACAACTAACGATTACTTTCGGTCACTCGTTTTTATTCTCGTCTTGTTTTATTTTTAAAACTAATTTTTTTCTAATACTAGATGCAATCGCCCTGGTGGATCCCTCGGAGCCTCCCGAAAAGGCGCTGCGGTGCGTTAAAAACTTGAGTTGTACCAAAAAAAAGGCAACGCCGGCACCAGATGCTGAGAAGGGGGTGCCAGCGACCCCGATAACACCGGAAACCCCCGAGCGCAAATTTTAAAATAAACAAATAAAAATAAAAATTACAACTGAAATTTTATTTGCTGCTAAGCGCTGAAAGTGCGCTTTTTCGCTGCTAACGTGTGCTGAATGTGTGCTTTTACCGCTGCTCAATCGAGCGCTCAACATGTGCTGAATGTGTGCTTTTTCCGCTGCTCAATCGAGCGCTCAACATGTGCTGAACGTGTGCTTTTTCTGCTGCTCAAAAAAGCGCTCAAGAGGGAGCTCAAAAAAGCGCTCAATGCGTGCTATTTTTTGAGCACTGATGAACCCTAGGACATGCCTATGTTAATTTACGCACTTAGTTCCATACAAATTGTGCGCTTATTGAGCGCTCAGTGATGAGCTTTTTGCAGTGATTGAGTGCTCAATAAGCGCTGAATGGTACTGCAGGGTATTTACATACACACACATACACGCGTAAAAACATTTCGCATTGTCTGGCTCTGACGTCATAGCTTTTTTCTTTGGAGGTTTGTGGGCGTTAGAGTGGGCGTAGCAAAATTTCAGTTAAAATTTTCTATCTAGCATCAAAACTGTAGGAGTTACATTTTAGGGCGGTTTGTGGGCGTTAGAGTGGGCGTGGCAGTCTACTGAAACAAACTTGCGCTGCGTAAGAAGCTCAGGAATCTGTACGCCAAATCTCAATAGCCTAGCTCTCATAGTTTCCGAGATCTCAGCGTTCATCCGGACAGACGGACAGACGGACATGGCTAGATCGACTCGGCTAGTGATCCTGATCAAGAATATATATACTTTATGGGGTCGGAAACGCTTCCTTCTGCCTGTTACATACTTTCCGACGAATCTAGTATACCCTTTTACTCTACGAGTAACGGGTATAAAAACGGTTGGAAGAGGTTTTTGTGACACACGCGGACATGACGGCCGAAATTATAATACCCTATTTCCCCAATTGCAACGGTGCAATGGTATTGTCTGCTGCTTTACTGAAAAGAAGTGCAATTAATAAAAATATATTTTGCAAGTATTTACCAAATAGATTTTTCTGCAGTCTAAAGTAGATTTTCCCTTTGGATTAAAATAACAAACAAATTATTGCAGTTCTAATTTGTAATAGTAACATTATTGTTTTGCGCATGCGCTAAGATATGATAGGAATGCAAATTCTCAATCATATAAAAACTGTGCTCTAGATAAGGAAGTTCTAAGAACCTTAAAAGTAACTTTTTCATTTTTTAAACTTATATGTCAAAATACAATTTAATTACAATTTGTAGCAAAATTAAAAATTTATGGATGAGAAAGATGAGTTTCCTAATGTGTATGTGTAGTACACATTGTGTACCCCACTTTTATTGGGTTTTGTGCTTTTTGTAATTACTTGGACAAGTCCTTTTTAAGATTAAAGGAAAAAAAGTTGTGCACTCAATATCAATAACCTTTTTACTGCTCAATATTTGTTATATGGATTTATGCTGCACCGTTCGGAGGAATGGCCCTAAATATTTTAGTGTGTACAAAATATTTAGGGGAGGAAATGTATATTCCAGTCTCATCTTTCCACGTTGTGGATGTGCAGGGCTGGAACAGAAAGGGGAGGATTCCAAGTTATTTCCATTCCCAGTTTGAAAAGACAATTCCATGGTTTGATAAATACTTCGTGACTCCGCTGACAAATTTTACTTGTATATGGTGTAACACAAATGTGTTATCTTATTTAAACTGTCATTATATATTATAAACAAGACGAACTGTTAAAGGTTTAAGAATCAAATACGTCCATTGTGTCTTTTACCTGTAAACACTTACTGCGTTTAACGACATTTTTCGCCGTATTTTTTAAGAACATGGCCAAGTGACAGTACTTATATTTCGAACCCTTTTTAAATTATCAGGATCCTAAAGCATTCATCCAGGTAATTTTTTGCTGTTTCACAGTGTTATTTAATAATAAAAACATGTAACCCCAAACTCCAAAAAAATGTACTCAAGTTTTAACGGAGCTATTAGCAAAAGAAATAAGTTGACCGGAAAATAAATCAAATTTTTCATATGGGACTAGAACATGAAATGTATCCACAGTTTCACATAAAAGGAAGAACAAGAAAGGAAGTTAACGTCGGCAAGCTGAAAGCTTGTATACCCTTGCAGTTATAATTATTAAATTTAAAAATACAAAAAATGATATTCCCAATAGTATAAGATAATATGACAGAAAACACTGAAGCTACAATTTGTTTCATATTATTTTCCCACCAACATTCCGATCGTTCCTATGGCAGCTAAGCGAGGTTGAAATGCGCCACCTACCGGCAGTAGACAGATATTAGCGTTATGGGCGTTAGAGTGGGCGTGTAAAATTGTTTTTGGATCAATCGATAGGTATTGACAAGACCAATACATTTCAGTTAAAATCTTTTATCTAGAATACAAATTGTGGGCGTCAATCAGAAAAAAAAATTGATGTGATGTGATGGTCAATTTGATTAAATCCAGTATCAATTCGGCCTTGATACGGCACATATCAATTTGATATGTTCGAAATGGTAATAACGATATTTCGGTAATATTATTTTTACATTAAGCGGCATCAATTTTTTAAAAATCATTTTGTTGTAAATTTGATATTATTGTAGATTTGATATTATAATTTCAAATTGGATATTAAAAATACCAAATTGATATTATTGTTAATTTTATATTATAATATCAAAAACAAATTTAAATTAAAAATAATATACCAAATTTTTTTATTATACGTTTTATTACCTATTTACAGTTTGTACCAAAAATGTACGGTACTTATTTACACATTATTTTAGATATTTACATTGGGTCTTTGACATTATTTATTAACTAAAGTTTCTTAATTGTGATTAACATAGTTATAGTTTTTATACAATCTTAAAAGATTCCAGTTCGTCATCCACCACATAAGCTTGAAAGAGTTCGCTAAAACTTGAAACCTTGATTAATTGAGTAATAATAAATAATTTGTGAAAGACATTAAAGAATATGCAAAATTTTATGAAAAGCAAAGAAAATCACGTGCATCTGCATGTACATATATGTACGTAACTATGTGTGTATGAGAAGCGACTTTGCAGGGCGGCGTAGAAAAAAAAAATTAATAGGCATGTACATACATCTAAACATAAATTTAGGCGCATTTCAAAATATGTTTATGTTCAAATGCAATTATGTTTATTGTTAGATGACCATACTTATTAATTTTGTTTTCACGCTGACACGTTTACGCATACGTATGTATGTACATACATAGTTGCACGTGCTTTTGTTCTCGTAGGGCAGTTATATAAAAAAGCCAATAAGAAAATTGCACACGATTTTAGTTTCTACTTATAATGTTACTATGTTATTTTAAAACTTTATACATATACACATTATATATGAAGTTTACTCACCTTTTCCTTGTTCTGCGCACTTAGGGAAACTGAACAATGTGTGTACGTCTGACTGGCTTCACGATAAAACTCAAGTGTCAAAAAATCCATTAAAACGTATGTACATAAGTGCAAGCGAGACATGATCGAAGTAGACCAATACAGACGGACATGGCTAGATCGACTCAGCTAGTGATCCTGATCAAGAATATATATACTTTATGGGGTCGGAAGCCTTTCCTTCTGCCTGTTACATACTTTCCGACGAGTCTAGTATACCCTTGTACTCTACGAGTAACGGGTATAAACACCGAAGCTATAATTTGTTTCATTTATTTTCCCGATCCGACTTTTATACTACCTGCAAAATATATAAGACTTTTGGGAAAGTTTCAGCCCGATAGCTTTAAATCTGAGAGACTAGTTTGCGTAGAAACGGACGGACAGACGGACATGGCCAGATCGACTCGTCTAGTCATGCTGATCAAGAATATGTATACTTTATGGGGTCGGAAACGTCTCCTTCACTGCGTTGCAAACTTCTGACTGAAATCAATACACCCTCTGCAAAAGTATAAAAAGAAAGAATGTTCAGATGTCATCTCAACAAAATACTTTTTTCTTGCGTACTATGACAACCCTAGCCCGTTGTAGCTAAATCCTAGCGGGATTCAGAACAGGGGAGAAAGACTTGCAAAGTTGTATAGGTTAGAATATGCCCGGTTTTGAGGTGCAACCATAAATTAATTAATAATAAATCAAGTATACAACAAATTTAAAGTCTGGTTATGCAAATATGATTATTAAGCATCAACGAATATGATAAAAATATCTTTTGCATATAAAGCAATCCCGAAGTATTTTTAAGCAGTTAATGTTTGTGCTGTCGTATCTAAATCCGCCACCCAAATTCTTGGCGGAAAGTTTCCGTGAGAATTTTTCGGAAGTTTACAGAATAACAATATAGGAAAATTTGAATCCGTGCAGATCTTTCGGATGTAGTTTTAGAGTAAGTCTGGGAAATTCGAATCCGTGTTAATCTTTCGGAAGTGAAAACTGGAACTGGGCCTTTAAGTAAACTTTAGAATATATATTCCTGCCGAAAGTTTCAGCAACTATGGACGATCCCTCCCTGTACCTTAAGTTTTCAACTTTCGGCTACAGTGTATAATAAAAAACAACTAAAAATAAAAAGTTATTAAGAAATTCCTAAGAAGTATACTACAAAACTGCACAGCTTTTCGAAGATTTTCGTGATCGAGACTCTATAGTTTCCCACCTAGCTTAGCATTTGTAACCCCCTTCGATCTCTGAGTTAGGTTATGAAACATGCATATGAACTCAGCATCGGAAACGGTACGTTTCTTTGTACAATAAATTATGCGAAAACTGAAAAATTGTTTTTCAACGTTTAGGCGGTGTGTAATGACCTCAAAGTTTCGCTATAAATTACGTGTACCAATAAAAATTAAAACCATACCATTTGTTGTCAAGATTTCAATAAATTATGGCTAACGAAAGTATATATAGGAAGCTTAGTCCAGAGTGGCAAACGGACAACCTTCCTCAGCAACAGGTGCTGTCTGCCCTATTTTACGAGACAAGGGTGTTATGCCGAACATTTCAGGAAAGCGTTCACGATATCTCTCAAAATTTGGTAGCTGTTTGGTCGGAGCATTATGTACACATTAGACTAATTCAGCACGTAAAATCCCACAAATTGCGTCTTCGTGAATAGTTCTTTGGCATAAAAAGAATAGATGCCGACCAGGAGAGCTTTACCGAAAACAAGAAATGCCTTTAAAAAAAAACTTGGTTGAAGTGTACATTGTACATAATGCTGATCAGCTCCCTAAGTTGTGTGTTGAAATTAAGTCGCGTCTTAGCTTCATATTTTTAAACCTAAACCGACGCTTGACCTCAAGTTAGGTAAAAACTTCTTCAATGATAGAAAACTACGCGGCGAAACGTAAGGGGCGAAATAAAACATTAGAAGTCTTCAGCGAAAATTAACTTTCTCCTTAGTGTATTTACTAAAAAAATTTATTTTATTTCTTAACGTCGCTTATTTACTGTTACATAGTTATAGGTCGAACCTTTTATTAATTCACTGCTCTTTACTTTTCACTTAGTTGAACTGCTCGCTTCGGTTCTCAAAAACGGACTGCCCTGCCTCGAGATCAATGATCAATAATCAAACCTCGGCTTAAGAGATTTATCTCAAAAATTAATTAAGAGAATGACTCAAAAGAGTCGGAAAATAGGATGATTTGTCAATTAAATTTGAAATTGACATTAGGGACCGCGATCATGGACTTATCTCGGAGGCAGTCAGAGTTATATGGAAATTAGCTTTGACTAAAAGTTTTATATATATTGGGTAATAATAATGTGTCATATAACTTCCTCCATTCTAAAAAGAATCGTCCTGATTCATTAGAAATGGTGGGTATATTGAATGTAATTTATTGGTAAATTGGGCAAATATTTTTTCTTCTAGGGTCGGAAATATTATTTTTTTCATTGTCGGTGTTGTTCAAAGAACGAAGTTACGAAAAATCACGGGAGTACTTTGGAGTTTTTACGCGACGTGCATGGGTTTTTATTTGGACACTTTGCAAATAGAACTGCTTAAGGCTAGCTCCAGAGGGAAGCGGAGACTTAGGGTAGAGATGGAGAGGGAGGGCAGAGGGCAGTGCGAGCGCGCGAGAGGTAGACATCTTTACAAAACTGCCGCTCGACACTGCCTCCAGAAGTTAAACACCCTTTAACGCCCATTCTCGTACAAGGGACTTTTTGTACGGGGTACAGAGCGGATAGCATGGAAGGATCATGTGCTCTGGAAACTTGCGCTGAATAGGACAATATTGTGTGTAGAATTGAGGCGGATACTGGCCTTGGAGCGTCGGATGGAATCGGCGTAGTAGTAGGGCCGCTGTATCGATGCAACAACGTGTGATGCCGATCTTGGCAAGTGAAACAGTTGTGAGCGCTTGTCCAAT